AAAAAAACAAAAAAAAACATTGAGGCCACGAGAGAGTTTATTGAACTGTGAAAAAGAACTGAATTTCAAGACCTGCTCACATTTTATTACCAGAACTCTCTTCAGGATATATTTAAAAACTACAAGAGGTTGAATTTAATGGTGGCATTGTTCTGTTATCTGTCAGCTGGGTGTGAGCTGGGTTGGGTAGCGTCCGAAGCTACTCTCCTCCCCTCACTGCTTTCAGAGATAAGAGTGAAGCAACTGAAAATGTTAAAAAATAAAATACCTCAGAACGCCAACAGCCACACAGAGTCACACTATTTCTTACAATGATGGATTTAAATTCTTCGTAAGTACACGTGTCCTCTCTGTTTTCAGTATAATTGAGCTGTTGGAATAGAATTTTCTGAAAATACTAAAATGTACAGTGTGTAAAAATGTCTTTTTAGTGAAGAGAAGCTGACAGATGGTGAGAGCAGCCGTCTTAAAAAGAGCAAAAAGAAGCAAAAGAAGAAAGATGCTTGGAGACCAGAGGGACCCAGAGACCCATTTGCCATGGTTTGTGTTTCAGAGTGTTTATGAGACTTTTTCACCACATTAGATATAAGACTGATGCTTTGCTTGCACTGCAACAATCAGGCTTCACTGGTCATTTGAACTCAAGCCGATAACCTTCACATTTGGTGGTAAAGACTAGGTTCCTAAACAAATTCTACCCTGTTCCTTCATTTGCTGTGCCAGTTGGATTCTCTGCCAGAAGAGAAACAGCAGGAGATACAGAAAGCCCTTCATCTCTTCTCCATGGGCCAATGTTTGCCAAAGACCCTGCAAGATGCCAAGAAACATACCTACCATTTCTGGGACACACAACCTGTCCCCAAATTGGGTGAGAAGACAGTCCTCCTGTAATTTATTACACAAGTCTAAATGTTTTGCTAACACAACATAGCTCTTGCAGCTACGTCTGTTACAGGTGGGATTGTTTTCAGGTGAAATCTTTCAATATCTGTGCTTAGCTTGTTTATCCAGTTAGAAATAAACTTTATTTATTTATTTTTTCTTCAAACTGAGGTATTTCAAATAGTTATCTGAAAATGGTAAGATATTAATTGTTCATAAAATCTCCATGGACCCTCAAACCAAAAGTTCTAAACTCCCAGTTCACTTGCTTTTAAGCTAAACAGTTGCTTGAATGCAGTTTAGGTTATTTTTATTTATTTATTTATTTATTTCATAATGGATCTTATAAACTTAGGAAACAATTATAGCAATGTATTTCTCAAAATTGTAAAGAAATCATTGTGAAATAAAAAAATATATATTGTACATTCCTGAAACTATTAGAAATATCCAGTATTTTAATTTATTACATCAACCATTGTCTAGCATTTCATTGGCTCATTTTAATTACAGCTCATTGTTCCATATACTAATCAAGCAATGCATTGTGGGTAATAAGAATGGATGGGTTGGTAAATTACTTGCAGGTCATTGAGTGAAGTTTGTTACCTACATAATAGATATATATATTATTTCAGAAAAAAGAGCTGCCTCTTTATGCTCTTAAACTCGCAATGAGTTCAATATCCAATTATCAGTCAAATTTTGCAAATCACCTAAAAATGGTATGAGCTATATACATGCATGCTCGCCACTTCCATTAGCCAGTCTATTTAAAGTAACCTTTATACTTTCCAGACTACCATTATTATTATTATTATAATACAGCAACAGAAATCACCAGCAGCCAACTCATTACCACAATTCATCACCGAACAGTGGCAGATCTTGTGTATAGAAATGGCCATAGAGTGTCATGGTTGTCATAAAACATTGCAAATCTCAGGCTGCAAAGCAAATAATCAAACCTGAACAGGCCAAGACCAAATTAGTCAAACTGGATGGATGATTTTTTTTTTTTTTTTTACTCCTTTGTAGGTATGACAAAAGGGAAAGAGTCATAAAAACCAACTTACAGCACAGTCAGGCTCGTAAGCCACAGTAAAATCAGGCGTGCTGAAAGAAACCCCTCTCTTTATGTAAAGAAATGGAAGCTGTCAGTCCAAAACATCAGGATGATTTGATCCAAGATACTGTAGATTGATGAACATTTGGACTGAAAATCTCTCCACGTATGATTGTTATCCTGACTACCTTGTTGTATCCATCTTTAATTGTTTATATGTCATGTGTTGGAGGTAAAGTGTTTCTCATTTTAGCTGACAGCATAATGACTCATGGCCCAATCGCAGAGGCTGTAACCAGTGTTCGAAAGGAGCCCTACTCCCTCCCTCAGGGCTTCTCCTGGGATACTCTTGACCTGAGCATCCCTGCAGTGGTAAGTTACTGCATGTTCAGCTGAAGTCATCCAGTTCATAAACAACCTGCTTTATGTAGGAAAGTTCTGGCATGACAGCAGATTAGACCCCACATTCAACTTCAGACAAGTGCTGCTCTTTGCCAAACATGTCAGTCAACTCAAAGGACATTGGAAACCCAGGAAATTAAAGCTCAGGAGGAATCGACAAATTCATCCTATATATTTTTTTTGTTATTTCAGTTAAGAGAGCTGTGTAATCTACTAAATGAGAACTACATGGAAGAGGATGACAACACAGTCAGATTTGACTTCTCCCTTGAGTATCTCCAATGGTAAGCTCCATCAGGATGCATTCAAAGACCTCTGATTTGTGGATTTTTAATATTACAAGCATTTGTTGCCTGAATATGAGAAGAATTTTTCATATGATTGGAAAAACTCTGCTTTTTTAAGAGATATTAATGAAGTTATTTTCCTCCTCTTAAGGGCTTTGCAACCACCAAACTGGATGCCCCAGTGGCACTTGGGTGTGAGAGTAGACAGCAATAAGAAGTTGGTCAGCTTCATTGCTGCTGTTCCTGCCGAGGTTTGCATTTATGAGACGTGAGTAGCTCGTAAATATGTGTATACAGTAAAACTGTGCGTTGTGTGAAAAATCTGATGAGCGGTATCGGTGCACGGAGCGTTGACGTAGTATATCTGACGAGTTCTGAAAAAATGTTGTGCAGGAAGAAGAAGTTGGTGCAAGTCAAATACCTTTGTGTCCATAAGAAGCTGCGCCACAAACGGATGACTCCAGTTCTGATCCGAGAACTCACCAGACGGGTCAACCAGCAGGGTCTCTACCAGGCTGTGTATACAGCTGAGACGGTGCTCCCCACACCGCTGAGCTCCTGCAGGTATAGCAGGAGGCATAATCACAGCCACAATTCTGAGAAGGTTGGGACATTGTGTAAAATGTACATGAAAACATAATGCAATGATTTGCATAACATAGGTTTTATTCAATTTCAGTTCAGTTCAGTTTATTTATATAGCATCAAGTTAGAACAGAAGTAATCTCAGGGCACTGAACAGAAACATTCATATACATAAAAAGTAATAGCATTATTTATCTGAGGAGCAGACTGCTTTGAGTTTAACTTCATCGCAGACTCTCATCTTGAGCAAGCATGAAAGCGACAGTGGAAAGGGGAAAACTCAGTCATGAGGAAGAAACCTTTAGCAGAACCAGGCTCGGGACAAGCGGCCATCTGCTTCGACTGGGTGGGTTTGAGAGGAACAGGAAGGAGGAACAGATACACAATGGCAGGTCAAGAATTGCATGTTAATTTAGAAATAATATTAAATGAAAACTATTCAATTGTAACAATTCATTTTAAGAAATGGGGTCATTTTGTTCTTCAGTAGTCTTAAGCAGCATAACAAGCCAACTCTAACTATAGGATTTATGAAAAAGGAAGGTTTTAAGACCAGTCTGTAAACTGGACAATGTGTCAGTCTCACGGACAGAAACTGGAAGTTGGTTCCACAAGAGAGGAGCCTGATAACTGAAAGATCTTCCTCCCATTCTGCTTTTGGAAACTCTAGGAACCGCAAGTAAGCCTGCAGTCTGAGAGCGAAGTGCTCTGTTGGAAAAATATGGAACAATAAGATCTCAAATATAATAAGGTGGAGCTAGGTTGTTGAGGGTTTTATAGGTTAGAAGTAAGATTTTAAATTCAGAAATCCTAGAGAAAGATAGTAAAAAATGTTTAAACTAAGAAAATGTATATTTTGGGAGGCGGGGGTATAATTCTATATCTTATGGCGTTAACACATTTCATAAAGTTAGGACTGGGCCCAGTGTACACTGTGAAACACCCCCTTTTTAATATCAGCCTGTAAATGTCTAGGAACTGAGATCAGCTGCTGGAGGGGACTGTTTTCTTATTCTTGTCTAATGTATGGAGTGGTGGTGCAGAGGCTGCAGAAAGTGGGCCTGTGATAAGGTCTCCGGTTTGACTCCCCGTACCGACAACATCAAAATGTGGGTGGGAAAAGTAAAGCACCCTCGTTTGCCCCACTCTAGGCCCTTGAGCAAGGCCTTTAAACCCCACCATCTGCTCCCCCAGGCGTCCTGTATAGCAGCTCTCTGCTCCACACAGAGGGCTGTGGTTGAGTCAGGAAGGGCGTCCGATGTAAAAACAATTGCCACGTCTTCGTGTGAACTGGGACCCTGCCAATTAACCTAATTTGTTACAAAATGCTCCTTCAGCTGTTTCTTTTTTGGTACTGCTTTCTTTAACAGCCGTTTTGTTGACCCAGTTTTTATTTTAGCTAAAAAAAAAAAAAAATCAATCAATCAACGTTACCCTTTTTCATCCAAAAAAATGAAACTTCTTGGTTTAAAGATTCACTGTGTTTAATGTGTTCCATTGGAAATACAACGAGTTTATTAGATGTGTAAAAAATAATTTCATTCACACACTTGTTTTCACATTTTAGACAATGTTCCAGCTTTTTTTTTATTAATTGAATTATTGAACTTTGAATTAACATAAATTTGGTACTTTACTTTTAAGCAACATCTGCTTTTATCCCTGCACTAATCTTTTGTAGTTTGTGGCTTCGCCCCTTGAATCCTCGTAAGCTGATAGAGGTCAACTTCCCGGGTCTGAGACGCACCATGAGTCTTCAGCAAGCCCTGAAGTTCAACCGTTTGCCTGAGGTTAGTGTGTGCTGCCATCTGGAGCCCATGACTTATTACTGTTCAGACAGTAATATTGATTTAAGCAGTAAAGTTTTGTGCTGCATTTTCTGAAGTGTATTTTTTTTCTGCCATGTTACTTTTTTTTTTTTTTTTTCTCCCCTAGGTTACAAAGGTGCAAGGAATGCGCCCGATGATCAAAGAGGATGCTCCAGGGATCCTCTCACTACTCCAGAAAAATCTCAGCAAGTTTCACCTCAGCCCCCTCTTATCTCTGCAGGAAGTAGAGCACTGGTTCTTGCCGAGGGAGAATGGGAATGACGCCTACGTGGTGGAGGTTGGACCTCACTGCATATCTACTTTTAAGTTTTATTGCACAGAAAAAGAAAATCCGCCAACCTTTAACCTAAGAACTTTTACTCGTGCTGTTCTGTCATGGCTAAAAGTGGATTGATCTTCCCTCCTCGCACACAGCGAGACGGCGGCGTGCTGACAGATGTGGTGAGCTTCTATAGCATCTCCTTCAGAGTGCTCAATCATCCAGTCCACACTAGTCTCAGAGCAGCTTACCTTTTCTACATCGCCTCTTCTGCCACAGAGCTGGCAGAACTCATGGAGGACACGTTGGTCCTCGCCAAATCTGTAAGTGTGTATCAACAAAAACAAAAAATATTAGGGATGCACGATATTATCGGCATGGTATCGGTATCGGCTGATATTAGCAAAAAAAGTTAAATATTTGATATCGGCCATTCCATCAAAATAACTCTGATATGAAAGGCGCTGTTTATTTAAAATATATATTTATATAGCGTTACATCATTTTCAGCCCCCTTTTTGACATGTGCATTTAGTAGCAGCTCAAACTGACAGAGACCATGCAGAATAATGTAGTATTTTAATTCCACAGCAGAGAAAGCTACGTAGTCTCTGTAGGTCTAGGAAAAAAAATATCGGTACAGATACCAGTTATCGGCCAAATAAGTTTTAACATATCGGCATATCGGATATCAGCCAAAAATCCAATATCGTTCATCCCTAAACACTTTTTTTATGACAAAGTTAATAAATTCGTCAAGCACTGAATGTTGTTCCCAAAGCATACTCGGAGCACTAACTGATTGTGCCATAACTGTTGTAAAACTTTGCCATTGGAGTCAACACTGTCTGTTGATTAGCAAAACATCTCATTAGCCACTACACGGATTGCCACGATAATCTAAAAAGGTAATGTTTGTACATTTATGACTGATTAACTTTTGGAGTTAATCCTAATACAGTTATAGATAAACTCTATTAACACACATTGAGCTCAAATTTGAGTGTTTGTAGTTGAGTCTCATCCTCAAAATCTATGTTATGAGATAATCAAGGTCAAGTTTTCTTTATTGTCATTCGCATCACATGTGGTGCATGTGGTGGAACGAAATTGTGTACACAAGGTCCTAAAAGTATAAATTGTAAAGAAAAACGGTAATAAGATCTAAGATATGAGAAATAAGCTAAACCAAGAATATGCTAAGCACTAGTAGTACAAAAACAATACGCCAAACAACAGCAGCACGAACATGAGTCTGTGTGAGCGGATGAGTATGAATGAATACAGCAACATGAAATGGATCAGCAGCATGAGAGCAGCATGGATAATCAGCAGCACATATCAACAATCAAGTGGCATTACAGTGATTTTTTCCCCATATAGTTATTTACAAGATTTGATCTATATATATATATGTATATTTTCCTCATCACAAGATGATTTTTATTTAACGTGACATGTAAGGTGGTGGGCATATACATTCCCTCAGGGATGCTTTATTAGCATTTTATTCACTTGTATTTAGTAGAAGTCAGATTTCATCACCTTTTTAAACCAACAGTTCAGTTTGATTTACCTTTTACTTTTCTTACTGTGAGGTTTGCTCTACTCATTCCTTCCTAACAGAAAGGCTTTGACATCCTCTGTGCACTGGACGTGATGAACAACATGAGTTTTCTGGAGAAGCTCAAGTTCACTATCAGTGACAAGAGAGTTCATTACTACTTGTACAACTGGATGTGTCCTCTCATGAGCCCCGACAAGGTACTCAACAAAGTAATCTCTGCACTTGTCAAGAGACAATATTGTCTGTCTGTTCACTCAGAGGTCTTTTATACCTTGCTCCTGTAAGGATGGAGCCCGAAGCGGCGAACATCTTGGAAACTGTCAAAATTCTTCACATAATGGAGTTTGGGTTGGGGGACAAGGTTTATATAGGTACACCTAAATCAACTGGACAATCTGGGAACATGTTACTTTCAAAAAGCTGTTATTTTGACTCAAGTTACAAAACTGTATGAAGTAAAACAAATTGAATGTTATGGTTTGTCAGCTTGCATTCATTCCTGCATTTAGGGTATATGATCCATTTTAATCAGCCTAATTAGTTTTAATGAGTCTTTTTTTTTTTCAGCAGACAAGTGCAACTTAAAACGATAATTCAGATGTTTTAAAATGAAGATTTGTGTAAAAGGTTATGAACAATTCATAATAAACTTGTTGTTAGCTCTTTGAGTTCAGCAAGCTCAGGTTGAAGGAACTGGGTTTAAATTTGAGCAGAGTAGCAAGCTAACGTCGAGTCTAAGACTAAACTGAATCGTTAGTTTTTATATTGAGTTTAGCCTGTACTACTGGCTGGATTTTATTGTACTTTATGTATTGATTCTATATTGTTGTTCTTTTGTCTGCTCACTTCTGCAGACTGTCATAGTGAACAAACGCAAACAAAAGATTTGGCAATTATTTTACACCAGATCTCCTTCCTGATGCAACTGGGGTTTGACCTGCAGCCTCAGGATCACAAGATCCAATTTATTGATTCATTGTGAATACACTATATAAAAAACAAACCTTTGCATCCTTATCATTTTCACCCTACATGATCATTTACCTAGAAAATGATCATTTGCGAGCACGTCCATCAGTTAAAAAAAAGGAATTTCTGCCAGATCAACCTACAAAACTGACAACAGTGCTAATGTTTTTATAAAATAGAGTTCACATGAACTGTAATAACGTGTTGAGTTTGAAGTTGTTTTAAGACTACAGATCTCGGCCTCATGCGGACTATTCATTATTAGAATTAAATTAAATTTGAATTCAACTTTGACCCCAGAAACTATCAAATAATTATCATGCACAGGTGAGATATTAAATGCTCATAACCCGTCTGCAGAACCCCACTTCAAATGACGTGAAAAATCTATTTGCAGCAGTGCTGTCTTTTTTAAATTTCATCCCAATTTTTAGTTTTAAAGTTTGACATGTCTTTTACGTTATGAAGAGGTTAAAACTGCAGGCAGTCCAAACTGGCTGAAACTGTGTTAAAGCATCTGTCTAACCCACGATAGTCAGAGAGAACCCATTTGAACAAAGATTATGAGTAAAAGCACCGGTTTCATCAAAAGTGGAAGGCTGCATCACTCACTAACGTCAAACTGTGAACACGCCTGCACCACACATGTCAGAAAACCTATCAATAAATTATTTCTGTTACACAGACCAGTGTCTAAAGCTTCAACATTTGCAGCAGTAGTCTTTAATATAATATAAGTAAAGTAAAGTTTTGCTGAAAAATGTTTAAATAGCCATGATAATGTGCCATTGAGACGGCAACATATGTTGCTCTACCATCTCAATCTAGTTTTCCTCACTGAAACTGTTGCCACAGAAGTATACACTACTAATGTCACATTATGCCGTATATCATGTACCGTGTTTTTCAGACTATAAGGCGCACCAGATTATAAGGTGCAAAATCAATGAACGGGTCTGTTTTCATAAATTAAGCAAAACGAAACAGTCAGATAAGTCAAAGTTTATTCAACTCATTCACAATAACCACATAAAATCGGTTCGAGGTCAGTAAGCACTACAAGAATTAATACATAAAGTGCACCTGATTACTGCCGATTTTTTTGAGAAAATTAAAGGATTTTAAGTACGACTTCTAGTCCAAAAAATATGGTATGCCACTACCTTATCATAATTCATCTCAGTGTTAATCACTACCTGTGCAATAATAACCTGTCACACAACCTGTGTAGTTTATGTAAGTTATGTGCAATATATATCATTTGCATTTAAGCTTGTATTACTACCTGCAAAATACTTATCCATACTAATTCATCCTACTTACACCGTTGTTTTCTACCATGTTGTTTACTTTTTTTTTTTCTTTTGGCTCTTGTAAATATTATTTCTTGTTCACTTTTTTGGTACTTTATTTTGTACCCTTATTGCATGCATTAGGTTTTTATTTATTTTTATTTTTATTTTTTATTTTTTTAAGCGAGTCAAATCAGTTCTTCTCATCCTGGACATTTCATTGCATTGTTGACCTTTTGTTAACCTGCATAAAACAACATAACAATAATGCCATTGACAAAAGTCCATATTGTGCCTGAAGTTGGTTTTACAGTACATAGTAGTTTACTGATAATCTTGACTATCTTTTTCACTCATGGTACCGAAAACACGGTTTATATTTTTGCAAAATACAATAAGGTTGTAAGAAAATAATCTGGAATACTGATTAATTTTAAACAATGCCCTTTTTTCCCCCATAATAATCCATCCCTAATGCCTCAGAACCTAAAGAAGTCAATGGCCTGATGCATGCTCAATAATCCAGGTAGAAAAATCTAACAAAATTGAGTGAGGTCCTCTGGATGGATTAAAAATAATAATAATTAAAAGGGCATGTACATTTTGATGTTTTTTTTACAGCTTTAAATAACTGCTCAACCTTGTTTGATTTGAGATTGTAGAAAAGTTAACTTCCAGCCATTAATATTTCATCGTTTGTGTTACAGGTTGGCCTGGTGTTACCCAATTAACATGAATCTGAGATGAACGGGCCAGAACAAGTTCAACGCTGCATTTGGTGAAAAGAATTAATGAACGCAAAATACACAAACTTAAATTTAAAAAAAAAAAAACATAATTGTGTCTGTTAATAAAAAAAATAATAATAAAAAAATGAATGTTTACTGCAGTTGGTGTTTTACATGATCTTCATTACATAACAAATAAACAAATTCAAAGAAGTCGCATCATTTTTCTCTTTACATTCTATCATCTGCACATGTGTTTGTGTGTGTGAGAAATAAATATAATTTGAGCACATTTTTGACTGCGTAAGTCAACAAGCAATCCACATAATCTCTGGTTATAAAACCGATCATGTATTTTTATGACCAATCCAAAGAAATATGGCCAGGCTCGTTAATTCCTGTTACTAACATGTCCATGCAATCCAGTTTTAGTATGCAGGTTTTTTTTTTACGTCATAAAGCATACACAAACACTGCATAAAAGCTGTCAATTAGTTTACACATGTTTTATGAAATGATCAAAGAAAGAGGCAAACATGTGGTTTATATCCAAAAAAGTTCAATCTGGTCCTCTGGACATTCAAAAAAA